CAAACCCGTCAGCAGGCGCAGGCGGCGAGCAGCCCCTGAACCGCCGCTTCGCCCTCTTAAATGAGCCATTCACTTAAAGGCTATTACGGGCGAATTAATAAATTACACAGCGAATTATTAAATCCAGATAATTACAAGGAATAAGTAAGTAATCATTAGTTATCTCAGCTAATTACTGTGGGTCAGAGCGAGCGAGAATGTGAAATCCTCCTCGGGAATTGAAATTAACTTTGCGCAGTGAGTCTCTCTGCTTGACATCCCCAGTCTGTAGGCACATGGCAGCTCCCCTGTGAGCTCGGCTTTCTATTTAACTTGGAGAGAATGGAAATAAAATTAAGTGGCGATGTGATAATAGGAAGCTGCTTAGAAAGCAAACGCGGTGGGTTTTATTTTTTACCTTTCACCGCCTGGAGAGAGCCCGCTCTCCAGTTGCCCAAATTAAAAACCTGGGGCAGTCGGTCGACTTCTCCTGTCGAAAGAGGAGACCTGCCCGTCCCATGCAGATGAGGAACAAAAACAACAACAACAACAACAACAACAACAACAACAGCTGTGCGTGCGCGGCGAGAAAAAAGACCCAGGCTTCTTTGCCTTTATCAATTGCAATTAGGTGGACAGTCTTCCCCCTCTTCCCTCGCTTCAGTCTGGGATGATAATTAAAATTTAATGAAGCCTGGGAGTAGCAGAGCTCTGTCTGGGGACTGTGGAATAGAATATTTTAACTGTACATTTACACCAAGTGTCTGGCTTCAAAGACGTGACTGCTTTTAATCTCGAATTAGAAAACCACAGACCTGAAATTAAATATTAGCCACCCTCGGCTCCCCTTCCTTCCCGCCACACTGTCACGCCTGTGTTTGCCTGCCTTGCCCCACGACACGCACACACCCACGTCTCGGGTCTCCAATTACACGCGCGTTAATAATAGATGGCTTTGATAGGGTGCGGATTTCCCCCCCCTTTTTTTTTTTTTTTTAATTGGGTTAATGCAATATTAATTGCTCGTAGCTGCTATAAGAATGCGCCGCGTTTTTCCAGGAACAAATCGATGGATCGGGGCAGCGAGCGCGGAGCGGGCG